TATTTACAAAAATTTTAACCAATAGGCTAAAAAACAAACTAGAAAAAATAGAAGATAGAGAACAAGCAGGTTTTAAAAAAGGATTCTCTACTATAGATCACATCCACACTCTGAACCAAATTTTGGAAAAAACAAAGGAATTTAATTTGCCACTGTGCATGGCATTCATAGATTATGAAAAGGCTTTTGACACCTTGGAAAAACCAGCAATCATCGAAGCATTAAAAAATCAACACATCGAAAAAGGCTATATTGATCTAATTAAATACATATATGATAATGCCAAAACCTCTATAAATTTCCATAATATTGAAACAAATATAAAAATAAATAGAGGAATAAGACAAGGAGATACTATGTCCCCAATCCTCTTCATTACATGCTTAGAAGATGTATTTCGAAGATTAAACTGGGATGAAAAGGGGATAAAATTATGTGGGGAATATCTAAACAATCTAAAATTTGCTGATGACATTGTACTATTTGCAAATGACTTAAAAACTCTACAAGAAATGATAGAAGATCTCCAAAACGAGAGCATAAAAACAGGCCTAAAAATCAACATAGATAAAACAAAAATTATGATCAACGACCACATAAAAGATAATAAAATAATAAAACTAAATAAAAAAGAAATTGAAAAGACCAACATTTTTGTATATCTAGGTCAAACAATAACATCAAATAGAAATATGGAAATAGAAATCAATAAAAGAATATCACAAGGATGGAGGCAATTCGGTAAATTAAACAAAATATTCAAAGCAGACATTCCACTATCCCTAAAAAAGAAAACATTTGATCAATGTGTACTCCCAGCAATGACCTACGGGTCAGAAACGTGGAGCACTACACTAAAATTAGAAAAAAAGCTCGCAATTGCCCAAAGAGCAATGGAAAGAAATATGCTAGAAATAAAAAGAATAGATAAAATCAAAAACGATCAGATAAGAAAACAAACAAAGCTGATCGATATAACAAAAACAATAAAAAGAAATAAATGGAGATGGGCAGGTCATGTTGCTAGACAACGTGACAATAGATGGACCAAGCTTGTCACAGAATGGCAAGTAATAGACGAAAAAAGAAAACCCGGAAGACAAACAACAAGATGGAGAGATGAAATTCTTTCCTTCTTAGGGAACGACTGGAGCACTCAGGCTCAAAATAGAGAAGAGTGGAAAAACATGGGAGAGACCTTCGTCCAGCAGTGGACGGTACATGGTTGATAAATGATGATGATGATGATGAAGTCACATTAGACTTTGTTATAGATTCTACGAATCAGTTCCACTAACAAGGAGTATGGATGCTGATGTACGTAAATTGATCGAAAAGTAGACCGACATACCTCTTGAAAAAAAAGACAAGTTTCATCTGCTAGTCTCAACTCTTACTTGTCAATAATCGATTAAGTCTATTTTAAATAAATCATACAATAATAAATTATTGTGCTTTGTTTAGAAGAATTAAAGAACCGTAGAGTTTGATCCGCCGAGGCGTTTCGTGTTATTTATTGAAATATTAATATTCATCAGGGCTCTACATTATATATTTTTGGCACAAATAAGAAAAATAATTGATAGAAGCAAAAAAAAACGGAAAGGGGAGGATTAATGAAAAACGAAAATTGTTCTTAAGTGAAGAATAGTTCGATTTTACCATAGATTGGATGATACTGAATTACAGAGATATATATTTGATACCAAGTCAGATGGAGTAAATGTAGAGGGAAAATCGAACATATTTCATATAATTTAATTAATTCATAGCCAGCTTCAATAGTAATGTCAATCTCTTATATACAACATTGTACTTTTAGTATGACAATTTATTACTATTCACTAAAAATTTATATGTTGATCTGATACTTTCAAACAATAATTATATAATGACATCGAATAAGGGTGTAAGTTTGGATATTCTCATCTCTCGCGCTCACATCCAATCAAATGGTATTTCAGTTAAATCAGCAAAACTTTTTAATATTAATTTATAAATTCTACCTTCATTTATACGAACTTTTGATATTGGTCAATTAACAAATGTATCCGATTGTTCAATACATGCTAGATGATTTGTTAGTTCCCAAATCATATTTGATCTAGGATATCCAATGACTTCACATGAAATTTATGAAATGAAATTTGGCTAATAACAATATTGATTGGTGATGAGATTCAACTAATTACACTTAGAATGTAGAATCAATTGAACTGAGAGCATTTTCAGCTAATAAATTACCGACTTTAAGAATTTTTGTTTGTACCAGATGTACATGTATATTCATAAAAATCAGTTAGGATAATATTGATTATTTTTTATATTTGTTCCTTATTGTCTAACGATTTAGAAATTTCGAATAGAACATAACCGATTATTTTGATACCATTGCGTTACCATTGAAGTGTACCAGTTTCTTGTACTATCGAATAATTCGGTGAATATTAGAGGAATTTTTAAAAAGGGAAGAGAAGCCAAGATTCTAGTTTTCGAATTCTATGAAAAAGGTTTATGCCGAATAGAGTTCGTCAAGTTAAAAAAATTTTGAATCTGGATTTAAACTTTAATCGTAATGTTCCTAGTAAAATTTTCTAATTCAATATGTGTAGATGTGACAGTGATTTCTCGGTGAATGATAGAAAATCTGACAATAATACTCATACCCATTCACATCCTTTAGTTGAGTATCGTAATGATGAAAAAATAGTTCTTTAGTTTTTTTTAATATGATGATAACGCCGGATAACATACTTTATAATTAAGATGGCATGGTTTTTTTGCATTCGTGCTAGATAAACAAGTGAAGATCGATATATATATATAAATAAAGACTTGAAGTGGATAGTTTTATTGAAATAAGTGAAATAGGATTATTTATTAATGATTGTTGAGAGTATGACATAGATTCTTCACGAATGTGAGTGTGTATCTGACTCTTCCTGTTACCCAGTTTCACATCCACATCCTTTATTTTCTTTCTACAAATTTTTTCGGACAACTTTTGACAAGAAAGTACAAATTCCTTATTTATATATATCTTTTGATTGTTCATAACATTCTGGTTGACATTGGAATAACAAAATAAAGAAAAGTATGAAAACAAATGCTGCTTTTTCGATTGATAACAGTATTATTTACACATTGGAGAAAATTTCTTGTTTCATTTCTGACATGTTGTCTCTTCTGGAACAGAAACAATTCTCGATGCTTGACTATGCACGGAAAATGTTTGGAAACACATCAACATAACATAGATACCGTCTGTATCAACTGAAACATTCTGAGAACTGTTTGTTGGCTAAAACTACATGTATGTAGAGGAGAAAAATCACAACATATAGGAGAACGCGCAAAAGTTAAAGATGACAAAAATTAATTATAACACTTCTTAACAAATTCCTGCAATATTAAAATGTGAAACACAATTGATCTATTTCACTTGTTAAGTAGTACCTTACCCATATGTTTGTTATGGTATCCTTGATGGTTAGATAGACTAAAATATCTAAATACGTGTCAAACTCTATGATATTATAGAGAACTTTTTCTATTTTTTTCGGTCATTCACGGTCTATGAAGCAAAAGAAGAGGTTTATTTTCTTCGCCATATATTTTAATGGTTTTTTCATCAATAACTTGTTATTGGATCATTAACTATATTTTACTTATATGTTGCTGATATGTCAATAATTGGATGTCAACTATATATTAATTAGCTTTGTAATAGTTATCGATAAACTATATAAATTATGGGTTTCTGCTAGCGTCATGTTGAAATGTTTGTCATTATCTGTAGAGACACCAAAACGTACAAGTCATCCATTTATGACTATGCTCTATCATGTATTTTTTTATCTGTCTAAAAATCAGTCATATGCGTCAAAATAAACATTCACTGAATAGTTGTTAAAAGCCTTGGTGTCGGAGAAAACAGATTCAATAGAGACAAGATCATTCTTATAGTGCTTTTAACTATTCTTCTAGTTGAAATAATAAGGCTTACAGTGCTTGAGACAAATAACATTATGATTACAACCATGCTGAAAACGTAATTTGAATCACAGTTACGTTTCGAAGAAATGTCATACACGCAGAATATTATCAAAAAATTTGACTACTTTTCTGCAATTATTATAAATTTAGAGGATCCATGAAAACAGTAACACAGTCCAAATACAAAATGAAATTTATCACTGAGTGATATAGTATCTTTAGCTTAGAAAAGGCAAAATCTCGACATGATCATTGGTTTCATATAATTTCCAATAACAGTTTTGATAAGTTTCGCTTATGCAGATCTTTTTTTATAGTCAACAAGTTAGTTTTTCAATGAGAATAAACAAATTTTAGAATTGCAATTCTACGTGTTTGTTTCCAAACTTCCATTTAACTAACTTTATTCGAATGTTGTATAGATCAGAAGATTTTCATTATTATTTGTATTTCGTAATAATATCTTTCGATGGTTCTTCTTATGACACAAGATCTATACCCAACTGTTTTCTCGCCAAAATGTTCTGTGTAAGCAAAACACGTACTCTCCTCTCTGTTTAATTAATACAATGGTTCAAAAGTGAATGAGAAAATTTAAAAGAATGAAGTATCAAAAGTTTAACATTCTATAAGTAGTTCCTCTTGGATTTGTTATTTTATAGTTATTGACTTATGAAATTGATCGAACAGTAAGATAATTATTATAAGAATATTGATTCTGTTTTCATCACTACTGTTAATGTTCACTATATTAAATGTATAAGAAAGATCTGACAAGATTTTATGTTGATCTTATTTAATCAGGTTCAGTTAAATCTATACAATGACTGTGTAAATGCTTTGGGCTTTTATTTTCTTGGCTTTAGGACAATCGATCAATTGATCACCAGTAAAAGATCAAAAATTTCGACTCCGTGCAACATTAGGCAGATCTAAAGCGAAATATGGGGCACGAGCGAATTTTATTGAACAACTAAGACCATTTATCAACAACAACGAAGGCAATGATGATCGTCATAATCCCCATGATTTCGAATGCCGAAACCCCAACAACTCTTTTGAAAAAAAAAGTGTTTGAATTAACAAATGAAGCACGTGAAGAAAGTGGCTACTATGATGACACTTGGTATCCAGCCGTAAAGGAACTTGGATGGAAAGATGATTTGGAAGAGGCTGAAATTCATCATGCTAAAGATATGCTTTAGAATACCTTCTTTAAGCATGAAGTTTCAGACGGGAGCCATGGCTGGGATAGTTCAACAGCTGCAGGATATCCAGATGAATGTTACGTTAGCGAAAATCTTGCTTGCAGCGAATCCCCTGAAAACTTTGTTGCTGGATGCTTGAAGACCCTCTAGCTTGTATGAAGATTATGTTCCAAAATTATAAGGCGATTTGCATCGGATATGCCAAAGGTAGTTGTTGTGGAGGCTATATGGTTCCAAACTTTGGTCTGTGCCAAAAATATGATTATCGTGCCATCACTATGAACATGTTTTCCTTTCTTCTTTTCTTCATTCTTTTTATCTAATGAGTCTGACTAACAGTTTATTTATATATTTTAACCTCTTCAAATAAATTAAGTTTAGTAAAAATCGATTCTACCACTAATAAACCTTGCAAATCTAAATAGTCATATGTTCAGAAGACTGATACTTGTATTACAAAGTTTTTCGCGAGGAAAATATTAATATGTACTATCTCGAAATATCATCAACAATTCATCGTTCATTTGTTTTTTCAGTAATTACTATACACTTTACGGAGTGTCTATGTTATCGCTCATCTTCTCTGTTATTAAACAGCAAAGCAAACTATATGGAACATTTTAAACTTTTAAATATGACATCAGAAATACTTGTAGATATTTGAGATTATTTCGCAATTTTGGAGTATTATATCGTTTTATGCAAGTTGGAATGAAAACTAACACAGTACTACACTGGAAGACGAAGTCAAATTTTAAAATATGTACGATTGTTTTTCCTCTTTTAATCAAGTTTAGGTATTCGGTAATAAAATGAATGTCATCAACAATCTTTAGGATATTCTGTAGTAACCAGTTGAATTGCTGTTTATTTTGTATTTTGTGTTAACAAATAAAAATTTTTGCATAAAATAATCATTCATTTTGTCTATTTTTCGTGGAAGTATACCATGAATATTGAAGCATTTAGTAAAGTACAAACAATATCCATCTAAAAATAGTTGAGAAGAAACAATATTGATATCGACTTTTTTTCCATTATAAACATACATTTCTCTGCTTTTTTGGATTTATTCAAATTGATCTCATCCTATAAAAAAAAAGTTATCGATTAAATGTGATCAACTTTTAATTGACTATAATTGATTTGAATGAACCAAAGAAATCTTTCTTAGTTAATGAAAAATAATCGATTTTAGTTTGATGTGTTGACAATTTTGTTTTCTGCAATGATATACTTTCTTTTATTTTTTTATTTGACTGAAGCCAAGCATCTGCCAATATTTATGGAATGCCTTGAACGTGTTTTTCTGACAAAATTTTTCTAAAACAAAAAATTCAATGTACAAAGAAGTTGATAACCGAACAAATGATAATTAGACTGAAAAATGTGAAAGTATTTGGTAAATATGTTAGTAAGATATCGAGTGTAAGTGTGGGTGTGGTCATGAATGAATATAACTACTATAATACCTGGTATTTCGATATTTGCTTTTAGGATACTGCATATCTTAATTGAATTATTTGAGTATCATTGATGTAATTATATTCGGAAACAGTAACAGCAAAACATATTGTTATTTTTATTAAATATGCTTTAGAAAGATAATTCATTTTATTTTCGAATATTTTCTCCTCTGAATAAATAAGTTTCTTTTCTACATTAAGACGTTAGATCTTCATAATAAAAATTCTTGAAAAATCAGAAAACTAACAAAGCACCAACAAAAAAAACATACTACATAATTATCATTGTTATCTTGTAAAAAATTTTCTCAACTATTTTATTTCAGTAACTCATCGGATCTAAGTTATCGTATACGATGGAAATCTAAAAACTCGTACGTAAATATTAAATTGATAACAAAGATTAACTGTAAAAACGCACCTCGATTGCTGCAATAAAAAGAGAATTACGATCAATAGTGTTTATTTTTGCTTCAAACTTTTTAAGCAGAACAATGCTGTCTACTAAGTATTGTTTTTTTTAATTAAATACACAACGAATTCTTGATATTTTAAGATATCACTGAAGCTCTCATCTATAATTTTTGTTTACCGAAAACATGAACTCATTTGCTAGACAATTATTCTCTTTGAATGTCTCTGAGTTGTCGCTATGAGCTCGATAATCATCGTCATGTCATTTCCTTTTAGTACAAGTTTCTTTTCGAAGATTTATTAGCGATAATGTTTAACTATTAACGACGCTTCGCTAAAATTTTGAGCTTAGTTCATCAAACTATTACTGTATTATTGTTTCCAAAGAACAACAGATAGTTTTGCTCCATACTAATAGCCATCATTCTAGAAAATTACTGAAGAAATTTTTCTATTTATCTTGGTTTTCGAGTAGACTTTTATTATTGATATTATCATTTAGAAATAATTGTTGATTCATTTAAGAAACAATAAAGATAAATTGACTTGTTTAACTGCACTGAAGTAAATAGACAAACAATAGAAAATCACATAGATAAAAATCCAATAATATATTGATCAAATCGATTATTTTTATCTTTTTCTTCGTCTACTAATTTCATGAGATAATTCCAAGAGAATTATTCACTCAGGCAGTCTCAACACAACAACAGCTTATATTTATCAAATTGTTCTTACAAAAATGTCATTTATTTTTTCTTCACCAAAGTAGATTTTTTTTTTCTTTGATAAAATGATTTTTGTAATTGAAGAGATAAAAATACTTTTATTTAAATTCAGCAAAGAAAAACTAATTATTTGTTTTTTCAAAAATGAAAATCATTATTTTCTTTTGGTATTGGTCAACAATTGTGCTTGCCTGGATGTATTATTTTGTCTTGAGGGTGCATTTTGTTGTTTATCCGAAGAATGATTATGTTCACTATGAACAAACCACTCAGGAGCACCAAATACATGTTCAGTTTTTGGTTTGTTTCCTTGTTGTTCATTGTCATTTAAATTTACTGGTGATGGAATTGGTTCACACATAGCATCCCACCAAAGTGGTCTTGGATATGGTACTGGTTCTTTACTTTTACGCGTTGCTGGATCAATATGTACGAGTAAATTACTACTACCACCTAATTTACATCGACGAATATAATCTGAATCAGTTTCTCGAACATAAATTGGTTTCGGTTGATTAATTGTTGCTTCATCATCAAATACACCATTAAGATAAGGTATTTGTGATGGTGGAGGAGCAGTAACTAATTCACGATTACCTTTTTTTAAAGGTGAATGAATATACCATATTTCATCTTCTGGTTTTCGTCGTAAATAGGACATTTTTGTTTGAGTACACGATAAAAATGTGTAAGTATACACCAACCTAATGTTTCAACTAGCGCCTCCCATCATCAAAATGATTTCTCTATCAATAGCCTCTATTCAAAAAATTTTTTTTTTCATAGATGTCAGGATAACTTTTAAAATGTTCTCTATAGTGGTGGCGTGTTATATTATCCAACCGATTGATTGATGATACAATAACACATGGATTGGTTATTTTGCTTAATATTTTTCAAGCGAATAAATTTAACATAAAAAATAGAACAATGGAATCTACGACAACTCCAAATGGTGTTGATCATCAAATTGATTCATCTAATAATACTTCCACAATAAATCATAATGATGAATCATCAAATGAAAATATTCATTCATGTGATAATCATGAAAATCAATCAACAATAAAATTAGATAATGATGCTGAATTAATATTAAAACTTAATAATTTATTACTTGATGATCCAAATGATCCCGAAATATATTTTCATTCATATCAATCAGAAAATGAAATGTCATCTATAATGTCTTTAATAAGTGGTACATTATCTGAACCTTATTCTATATATACATATCGTTATTTTATTCATAATTGGCCTGATTTATGTTTTTTATGTTCAAATCAAAAAACAAATGAATTAATTGGTGCTATTGTATCAAAATTAGATTTACATAAAAAGGTTTTACGTCGTGGTTATATAGCTATGTTAGCTATTAATGAAGAATATCGACGAAAAAAAATCGCTTCAAAACTTGTTCTTATGAGTATAAGAGAAATGATAAAACGTGGTTGTGATGAAATTGTACTTGAAGCTGAAGTGACAAATGATGCAGCATTAAATCTTTATGAAAATTTAGGATTCTTACGTGAAAAACGTTTATATCGATATTATTTAAATGGTGTTGATGCTTATAGATTGAAACTTTGGTTAAAATAAGAAAAGAAAAAAATTTGCTTTTTTTTCTTGTCAGTTGTTTTTATTTGTTGGATAAACAAGAACAATATCTTTTGTGTTCATTTGTTTGAAAAATTTTTAATAGAATTTTCTAACAAATATATTTGTCTTTTGTTTTACTTATTAGAAATTTATATAAATTAACATGTAATTTGAATTTTGCATTGTTTTAGAATTCATATACATATGCATAAATAAGATATATCATCAAATAAGATTAAGGTAATTTTATTTTTAATTTTTTATTGTTTGAAAAGAGATAAATCTTTATAAGAGAATTTTATTATGGAATTTTTAATAATTATCCTCATATGTTTTATTTTTACTTTGGTATTTCCATGGCGAAATCTGTTCTCTTTAATAATTATCATACATTTTTATATGATGTCTGTTAGTAGGAAAATATGTATGTTTATTAGGAAATAATAACATTGATGGATGTTGACACATCTGATTTCCAAAAAAAAAAGAGAATAATTGTTTTCTATGTATGAACTATTGTGTTCTTTTTTTTTCTTATTATTAAAGACGAAATGTACAGACTATAACTGTCAGTCTTTGGAAAACTTATGGTAATATTAATGCAAAGAAGTTTTGAAATGTTTTTCTTTTTTTTTCAAAATATCATCAGATGATGAAAATCATTTACATGCAAAAATTTTAAATCAAATTTCTTTAGAGGAAACTTCTTCAGCTACTTTCTTTCGATTTTAATAATTTTTTGCCTATTAATATCACATAGTATTCTAATAAAAAACATAAAAGATTTGGATTCATATTAATGCATGTATTAGCTATCGAATTTTTTAATTTTGTTTTAAAACTTTTATGTATATAGAGAACTCAATTAGGCTAACTTTCATGACAAAATCAGAAGTTTTGAACAAAGTTTCTTCGATACACGAGACTTTTTCTTTTCTCATGGATAGTGTACACAACATGCATTTTTTGAAAGCTTCATATCTTGAAGAGATTTTGTTCAAAACTTCTGAAGATTTTTATGGAATCTAGTCTAGTTGAGTTGTTTATATTCCTCGAATACTCTTATACTCTTCTATATGATTAATAATTGATTAAATTAATCTTTTGACGTTTTCCATGAATAAGAAACATAATCTTCTTTGTAATATTTACTCGCTATTTATACAAATCAGCCCAAATTTAATTATCAATACTCTTATTATATCAAAACAAAAGAAAAAGATTATACAAGAACACTAAGTGAACAAAGTTGACACTGTTCAAGATTTGTTGTTGTCGTTGTTGTATTTGATGATGATGATGTTGGCGGAGAATTTGTATCAATATGTAATGGACGACAAGTTCGATAATTATTCGAAATTATTTGTGAATTATAATCATCATTTAAAATTTCTTGATAAATATGATAATTTTGTCCTTGATTAAAATTAGAACTAGCATCAGTTGATGATGAACCACTACTATGATAGTGTGTTGGACATGTACATTGTGTAGAAAGACTTGGTTGATAACTAATAGGTCGTGGATAATGATGATGATGATGAGGATGATGATATGGTTGTGGATGTGTTGATGATAATGGTACTGATGGTGATGACCATGGAATAGTATTTGTTGGAGTTGGACGTACAAGAAGTGTTTCACTTTTTGAATCATTATTTTGATTATATTTTGATAAACGTATACGACAACGTGTTATTATTAAAATAATAATTATAAGAAGAATAAGTACAAATAAAATACCAAATATTGAACCAATTAAGATACTTTTTGTTGGTTCATTCAAATACCATGCTTGTTGTGATTGTTTAGAATCAATAATAAGTGATGATTTTAATGTTTGTGTTGGTAAATTAGTTGAAAATATTTGTAATTGTTTACAAAATTTATCATAATCAATTTTTCGAAGTAAAAATAAACATATTTCACCTTGTTGAATATAATCTATTGTATAATTTCTTTCTAAAACATCAAGTAATTGACTCATTTTATAAATAGGAGAATTTAAACTAATTTTAAAACCATTTATATCATGATTTTTGAAATTTATACGACGATATTCATCATTATCGTGTTCATTATTTATTAATGGATATAATTCCCATTGTATTAATAATTGAGATTTATCATTAATGGGTGTTATGATTAAATCAGATATACGAATTCGTTCTAATATTTCTTTTTCAGTTGTTGTTGGTGATGATAAAGAATATTCTTGTTGTTCAAGAGAATTTTCAACAAGTTCTTCAACTCTAAAAGAATATAGATTAATGGATAGTGATAAATAGGAAGTTTTTTTCATTCAAGATAATAATTATATTCATGTTAATGACACTTTATTCAAGAAAAGAAATATAGAAAATCGAGGTCAAAATACATTTGTTCGAGAAGGTTAATCATCAATAATACATATCAAAAACTATAAGTGACTTTTTTTATTAGTTGTACGACAAGGTTTAACTATGTAATCATATGGTTGTCAATAGGAATATGATTTAATAGGAATATGAGCTAATGAGAAAAGGTCATTCAATGATCGAAAGCTTTTGAGTTCCTACTTTTCGCAGTAGTAGGAACTGATAGATTAGAATATTCTCCAAATGGTTCGTGCTGACGTTAAAATTGGGCCGAAACATTGATTATTTAGTAGATTTTCTCCGTATGGACCGAAGTTTTCGATAAAATCCTATAGGCGAATTTTAGTCTACAAATTTTGTCTAAATGATTTTTCATTGATACTATATAAAACATATATATTTTACAAGATACATGTCTCAGAGACACTCAATAGAAAACTTCTGAAATTTTGTGTATAAACTAGTCTCATTGAGACCTTCATCTAGACAAAGGTTTCAGTCAAAACCATTAAAAAGTTAATATCTCAGTCAAATATTGATGTCAGCACAAACACTTTGAAGGATACTCTAATCTATAGGTCTCTAACACTGAACAAAATAAAGGTTAAAACGTTTTTAATTATTTGATGACCTTCCTCGTCAGTGAAATGTTACAATTCCAATTAATCCTAGTGTTGTGACTTGATTTAGATCTAAGAATAGATGAAGACATGAAAAGAATATGTTAGATAATTAAAAAAGAAATATTAACAAGTTTTTGTAAGTATCCTATTTTTTTAGGATTTGACTAATCTTTCCAGATATGGAATTAAATATCCATTAGCAAAAACCGTTCCATTTCAAAATATTAGATTCTGATTCTTGATAAGAAAACTTACATATTCGCAATAGTTGTTCTTATAGTAGTCGTATTAGTAGTTAGTGTTGTTGTTTGTTCAATTTTTGTTAAAACTATATTTTGAGATAAATTTATTAAATGACATGACAGTTGTTCATCAGATAAATCAATAAGATTTATATTTCGATGTTCAGTTGGTGAATGACATTGACCAGTTATTTTAATCTTTAAACGAAATAAATCTTGAATATTTTTATTTAATTGACAATCACAATCTAATGGATTTAGATCAAGTTCAAGTGTATGAAGTGTTTGATAATAATTTATTGTTAATGAATCAATTGTATGTATTCGATTAAGTCGTAGAGATAAAATTTGTAATGTTTCATTAAGATTATTTAAAAGAGGAATTGTTGTTAAACTATTATTTGTCAAATCTATTAAAAACAAAAAAAAAGAAAAAAAAAAACATTTTGTCTTTCGTTTTTTTTTTGCCTTCTTACCAAGTGATTGTAAACGAGTATATCGAAATGCATTTATATCAATAATTTCAATTTGATTATCACGTAATTGCAGTCTTTCAAGAGATGGTAAATTTAAAAAAATTTTTTTATCAATTTTATTTCCTAAATGATTTTCATCTAAATTTAATTGTTTTAATTTTGGTGCATTTAATGATGATATTATTGATAAATAATTTCGATCAAGTTCAAGAATTTCTAATGATGGAAATATATTATTTATTGTTGATGACCATTGTGTTAATTTATTTGATGATAAATATAATTTTTCTAAATGTCCAAGACGTGTTAATATAGATAAATTAATATAATTTAAACGATTATTTTTTAATGATAATAATTTTAAATTTAATGGTAAATATAATTGATTAATTGATTCAAGACGATTATAATCGAAATAAAATTCGCGTAAATGATATAAATGAATAAGAAATGTTAAATGTTTTTCAGTTACTAATTCATTATTACGTAAATTTAAAATTTCAAGTTGAGAAGATATTAATTCAAATATATGTTCGTCTATAGTTTCAATACCTACATAAAGAAATACGAATTATTGGCATTTAGAAAAGTAGAAAAGAAAACCTCGAAATTTATCTCGAGATATTAAAGTTGTTTAGCGAACATTTATTGAATATACAAAAGCACAATTAAAATATTATTTTTAAATTCTTGATAGTTTCTGAAAAGTCAAATATTTTTTTCGTATTCTTGATCATATTTCAATTAGAAATGCTCATCGAGATTTGAAGTTCCAAATACAAAAAAAAAAAAAAAGAAAACAATTTTCTTTTGAAAAACCACTCAACTACTTCAGATACACTCATCTTTTTTCCAACATATTGTTGTTTCCTCAAGCAACTGTCTTCTTGAAACTACAAGTTATAATGATTCTTGAAAAACTCAAAATGATTATAGAATCTCTGATTGAGTCGATTGGCAAGTGAGCATTAGAATTCCAGGTATAGCAATAAATTGGGTCACGTTTTTAAAAGAACAATGAGAAGCATATTTCTCAGTAAAAAATTGACATGATTCGGCAGTACATATTAAATACTAGAGTGTGCTTGAATTTTTGTCATACTATCGATAAACTCCTTAGACGTGGCGAAATTGCTATCAATTGTTCTCTGGTGGCTCGCTTATGATAGAGTTATAAATAGACTATTCTCTACTTATCTTAGATTAGGACCAATTCGATTGAAAATTTTTAGTCCTCGACCCAATTTACTGAATGTGTTTTTAGACTCGAGACTGATTCGATGGATTTAATTTCTTAGAAACTTTCCTAATCGAAATTTTTTATTTACCGTTATAAGATAAATCAAGTTCAATCAATGAATTTGATGGATGAAATGTTATTGATGATATTGATGATTGAATATTTAAATGATGAATTTTATTTTTACTTAAAATTAAAATTTTTAATTTTTTCAATGATAATACTAATGGAATATTAAAATATTCAAAACGATTTTCTGATAAATCTAAACGTTCTAAATTTGGAAATAAATTAATAAATGTATCAATATCATCAATTTGTTTAATGGAACATAATTGTAATGAAAGTTGAGTTAATTTTTTAGATGTTAAAATTGTTTTTTTATTCGTTAGATTAAATGATTTTGATAAATCAAATGAACGTAAAAATAAACGTTTTAAATTTGGTAATTCAGATAAGATTTGTAGAAATGTATTTGTTGTTAATTCTGATGATGATGATAATATTGTTGTTGATAAAATAAGTTCTTCTAAATAATTTGATAAATCAATAAAAGCATTTATTTCAATTAAATTTAATGGATTTGATTGAAATTCAAGTTTACGTAATTTTAAACCACTAAAAGCATTTTTATGTACAATGGATATTCGATTACCGGATAGAACTAATTCATCGAAAATTATATTGCCTTGAAAAGCAGAAAAATAAATTAGAATAAATTTCTATTTTTTTTTTAAATTAACTTACTATTATCAAAATGAGGTACAACAGTTAATTGTTTTCGTGCACAATAAATATAAACACGTCCTGTTTCAGTTATTGCGCATCGGCATTTTGATTGAATATTAAATGGAATAGGACAACTGGAAATTTGTTTAATTAATGTATATATTTGTATTAATATGAACAATGAATAATAAATATGCCGAATAATCATGATTATCTACAAATGACAAATTCAGTAGAATGAATAATAAGATACAAAAAAAAAATGAAATGAAAGAGAGAGAAAGAAAAAGTTTCTGATTGTTCAAGGATTCTTTTTATTCTCTCTTTATACTGATGTTTATTACAGTGTATTTAATGTTGTCATATCCTGTTCATCCCTTGCTTGCTTGTGTTCTCTCTCTCTCTCTCTCCTTCTCATTCGTTACGTGTTCGCTACTGATTATGAAACAAGCAGTTGCGGTTAAGAGTGCTTATTTGCATTAGCGATAGATGGATTTTGACACCCCAGCCTTGGCGACATGAGCTTGTTACTGATCTCGCTCTTTTATTCTTGAGAGACTCGTCACAGAACGATTGTTGCGGAAATCGAAGATGACAGTACCTTTGTTGAACTAAACATATGCATGCGTGCGAACGTTGTGATTGTGTTCAATTACAACAACGATGAATAATTCACTATCTACATAAACGAGAGAGAGAGGAGACGCGCGTGAGTGCATACGCAATGTCCATCAAACTAAGTAAACGGTCAGCGAATGATTACGTCATGCACACTTCGATAGATAAGCATACATTATTTTTTTTCTAACGAAAACTATAGTTTCTTTCTAATTATACTTCGGAAAAAAAAGAAGAAAGCTGGCAATTATATATTTTTTTCTCAGTAAGAAAATAGATGATGGATCAATCGTTCTATGTAATATCTTTATGTTCGTGGTCAAGCGATTTCTTTTCTTTTGCTGAATAAGAATGTGTTCGATTAATGATGGCACTTTCGTACGAAACGGAAGAAGTACTCGCGCAAATATATATATATACATTCCGAATGTCATTACGTATAAAGAAGAAGAAGAAAACGCATCTTTATTCTCTCTCCAGGGGGAAAGAAGAAGAAACAGCTGGAAATCAACTAAACTCATCTTGATGTTGATGAGATCCGATTCACTAGAGAACAAGAAGAGAGAATGAAGAAGCCAAGAAGAAGAAGAAGAAGAAGAAGAATGATGTTCGTTGTTATTATTATTGTTCTGCTTCTTCTCTTTTTCTTAGCAGGTGATCGTCTTTTTTTCTTCTTTTATTATAGTATAATTTTTTTTTAAAGTCTAAGTTATTGAGCCGTTACGAATCAACATTATCTCTTTTTAGTTGATTGAAGGTCTGTTTGGAACAATAGGTTATATGATATGATACAAAAAAAAAAGAACAAACCTTAGTCTCATCTAATTTGCCTAATCATTATTCGTCATAGCATGCTATCGAGAGATTACAATACAAGTAAAAAGTCTATTCGAAATAATCAGTAATGAAGGTTGTTTCTTTCTCTGTCTGTCTCTCTATCGTATTGTATCACATAAGGAGATTGTTAATGTGAAATGTTTACATGGTATGTCTCTTTATCCTGCTGCTATAGAAGCATGCAGTCGAAGACCACTCATAGTCAATCAATGACAAGTGCCTGCTGTTTGTGTGTGTGTGTGTGTAAGAATGAATAAGGTGGCCATTTGAGTAAATGTTACATCACGTTAATCGAACTCAATAACGATTAAACTTCGAAAGTGTGAAAGTATGATAGATACTTAGACATGTTTTGTATGAATGTAAAAACTCAAGAATAATAATAATAGAAAAATGATGTTTTCATTATCGCTGCATGTGTTTCTTTGTTTTCCATTGAATTAAGTAGAAACGCATGTTTCTTTTCATATTATATATGTACAGACATTTTACTTACCTCTATTGTTATATGACAGGAGAAGGTATTTCCGTTAATGATGACAAGTGATGATCTATATATACATATGTATATGTATTTGTATGTATGTGAGTACTACAAATAGCGTTAGTCATTTATTTTTTCATTTCCTTTTAAATAATAATCATAGTAATAGAAATTAACATGTATTCGTATGTGATTCTACTGTCTAGCCATATATAGATATTTCTAATAAAGACGCAATGTGAGAAGATGATGGACCAATATTTCTATTCGTTCTAATCAAATTGAGAGAAGAGTCTTTAATCCTACTTTGTTCTAATTCAAGTTATTGGATACTTACACATACACATGTACAAAAAAAAAAAGAAAATAAAGTCGGTCAGTTTTGATTTAATGAAGTATAGATATGCATACATCGATATTAAAAAAAATAAAAAAGACGACAACAAATATTCAATATGTATATGCAAAGATATGCATGTATATACATATAGAGAAAAAGAGACGAAAATTATAGTGCACGTGTCATCTTCACATCTTTTAAGTAAAAAAATAATCAATAACCTACTATAATATATACAACTATCATATGTTGGTCGGTCAACATATCGATCTTTCTTTTTCTTTCATTCGTTCAATACAGTCCTTGATTCTAAATAGGTTTTTCATCGACTATTATTATAGCTCTTATATACATAAACAAGCAGCATATACTCTTTCTTTCTTTTTATATAGAACCGTTCAATATGTTTAACGTCTTTATGTCTTTTTCTCACACACACATACATTGCTTCTTTTTTTCTCAATGGTGCGCGCAATCTGTTTCAACTATGACTACTTTTGCTTTCAAGTTTTCCTTTTGTCATTGTCATACGATTTGATTATTATTTTTTTATTTCATTCACTAATAGCTACCGTTAAAAAGAAGAGAGAAAAAAGGGGGAGTTGACAATTGTTCTTTATTATATGTGCGAGTATATATATATACGTTCAGACGATGAAGATTGTCTAATTATCAATTTCTTCTATGCTTTGCAACCATTACACATTTTTGATGACGTATAAAATGGCATACGGTTCATTAGATAAGGTCTTGAAAGAAAATGTATAAATAAAAAAAAGAATTACTGGCCTTCGCATTTAGAGACTATTTTCTTATTCAATGTTTATATATTTATAAAAGATACATTTTTTAATTGTAAGCATATTCATACATACATACACACACACACACACATATATATATATATATATATTTGATCATCTCCTCATTATAATTATAAGCACGTTTAGACGATTCAATGTTAACTTTTTTCTTATAAGAGAAGAGACGAAGAGCAAAAGAAATATGTTGCACACTAAAGTATCCTAATTTGCATCGATTAGAAACTCCTTGAGACATTCGATTCGCCCATAAATAGCAGCAACTTGCCTGAACGATCTGTTGCCATCACCTTCTATACATAATTGCTCATTTAATATCTGGCCTTGCATTCTTATTTTTTTTTTTTATTCTTTTTACCCTAAAGAAATAGAAAGGAATATGAAGATGTTTGTCGTCCTATTGACGTTTGTTTTTTTTTTGTTTCACTGATATATCGTTGAAAAAAAAAAAGAAAGTTGTGTCGGCGTGAAAAAACAGATGTGTACGTGCGTTCGATTACTCAATTCTACTCATCTGTTTTGTCAACAGACAAATAAGCACACATATAAACTTTCTTTGAAACATAGCATATATATCTATAAATCTACACTATGAATAACATAGAATCAAAATCAATTTAGCTTTTAGATTTTTTTTTCTCCTTCTTTTGAACATATTTCGATCACATATACAATCGAAAAGTAAACAGGTCCAGTTTCGATTTCACACATTCGTGTAAATTGGAAGCCGACACTCAATAGAATAGGAAAATATTCGCGTGTGTGTTTATATATTGAAGACCATGAAAGAAAAGTATTCTCTGTTTATATACAGATCAATTACAAGTAATTCATCTCAATGATGATTATTCAAAAAAACAAGAAAAGATAACTTACTTAATTAATAATGAAAATCTTTTCAACATATTCTAAATGATAATGATAATCTATTGGTGATAATTCTATTGTGCTTTTTTTTCTTCTTGTGTTGTTCTTCAAATATTGTTCTAATCGTCTTATTTGAATCGATATAAAGATGTCCCACAAATGTAAACCTTTTACTTATTCTTTCTTTCATTTTCTTAGCTTGTTGTTTGCTTATATAACGATTATTAATATCAAATAGAATAGAATAAAAAGAAAAAAAAAGTTTCGGCTCGTCATATACAAACTAATTGACACATTCAATTGTTTTCAGAGTTCTTTTCTTTCCGACGCTGAGTACAAATAATTTTTCTCCTTTTTTTTGATCGGATTCAGAGAGTAGTTGACCGGAGTGAACACTTGATTTTTCTTTTCTAAGGTTTGCGTCATACACACACATGCATACAAACTCATAAGTTGACATATGGTTGCTACTTGAGACGTACATTGCACATGCGCAATGTAATATATTTATGTAGGTATATCTTTGTGTTTGTCGGATTTATTAAAAATTTAAAAGAAATATAAGGTAGTCATCAAAAGAAAGGAAATCTTTTTTTTCTCGTTTTCAATCATACCAGAATAAAATAGCACTTATAATCAATTACTGTAGAAGATTAAAAAAGAGGTCAACATAAAAATCTTCTATTCTAATCTATGCTATTGTTTTATGAACTTACTTTCTCAAGAGTTTACGAGACTTAATGAATGCATCAATGATGATGGTTGGATTCGTAGTAAAACAAAAGAACGATAAGTGTGCATCGAGTGTACACACGTCAAATCGAATGCCGTTCATTCATCGTTTGTTTCTTCAATCTGATCAATGAATAGAGAAGTGCATATACAACTGATTAGATGCATTCGTTCAGCTTGTTTTACATCTACATATATCATTAAATTTGAATATATCAAAAAGAAAAAAAGAAAATGTTCTTTATTATTTTTAGACAAGAAAATAAATATGTCGAAACGTAAAGAACCTATGCCAAAAGACAGAAAGAAACGAGAGAAGAAAACTAGTGAATCTGATAATAATACAAGTGAAAAAGAAGATGATATTGAAGAAGAACAAAAGAATGAATTAGCTAAAAAAATATCTAATACAAAAACAAATACAAATCTAATCGATTATTTTACGATAAAACCTCTTCAATTAGCTATTGATCATATTAGAAAAAATATTTGTTCAAGTGTTATCGATT